ATTAGGTACTATGAGCAGATTTGATATTTAGATAATGAATATTCAGATCACCAGTCATCAGAACATCTTTATACACATGTCTGCCGGAACTGTCATCATATAGAACACAAATGTTTTTATAATATATAGAATCATAAACTATACACCATTGTGAGGCAGAGTAGAAAAATAATACATTTTCAAAAATAATTATCTTCAATAATAATCCTTATTTAATTTCTTAGGAGAAAGAAAGGCTAGGTATATCCATAAAAAGCTTAATAGCATAATCAACTAATGTTTATAAAGTCTAAATTACATAAAGTAGGCCAAGAGCAAAAAAAAATACAAATTCTTCTAGCTTTCATAATTCTAAAGAACATAGTGAGGGACAAAAAATAATGTAATGGAATAAGCTAAGGAGTGGAGCTAGTCATAACCCGCAAAGATGAATAGCCATCCATCGTGTGTCTATTTTTACTAATAATGCATTAGTAGCCTGTTTATATCATATAACAAATTACCCAGAGGAACTTGAATATTTTATTTCAAAATCTATTTAAATAAAAATAATGCCTGGTGTACAATTATTATTACGACCAGGCTTATCAATATGTTTGGGAGTATCAAGATTGGCTTCATTATTATTTGCTCTGCTTCATTTTTAATTATTTTTTTAAATATCAGTCGACAAGAGTACCTACCTACTTCATAAATACCTCTTTCATTAGCCAATACAATAGTTAAGGTTTAGATTTTTATGTATATATTTAAAAATGCTTTTTCAATTAGATGAGAATCTGACAACAACAAAGCTTATTTTGAATTGATTTGATTTGACTTTGCAATAATAAACCATTTGAAAATTGAAAATAAAAACTACTGACACCGCGGTTTTAACTGTATTTAAAAATATATTTGGTTATTGATAGTTGCATGTGTTCAAATTACTGAGGAAGGAAACAATTTGTATTCCATGGAAAATTCAAATTTATTGAAAAGTTGCGTAAGTAGTAGAGAGCTTTCGGCTTTCGCCATCATCAGTACTACCTGCAAGCGAGCGAAATGAAGAGTTATAATAAATTTATTGTAAATATGTATACATATAATAGATTGGTGAATGTAAAATTTATTGTAAATATTGTGACGGAACTAGCTATTGCCCCGTTTTGGGCTTAAGTCAAACCGCACCAGGGATGCCAAAAGTTGCTACTTTGACCGACTGTAAAAATTAACCATAAGGTGTTGGATCATTTGAGCCTTATATTGGGTTAGGGGTGCATTGATTCTCATTTATACAAATAAAACGCTGAAATAGAATAGTTATCAATTTAATTAATAAATGAAAGTGATTCGGTATAGTCAGCAATCAATTCCTATCTAAAAATTCCTAATTGGACATCCAGTCGAACTACAAATTTTATACTAATCTAAAGTAAATAAGTATCTTGATTTATAAAAGGTAGGGAAATCTGATAATGATAATAATATCATTTATGGTTGAATGTTCAATGAACGAGAACACAAATTAACTAATTAAATGCACGAGAGCACAACATAAATAATTCGTCAACTTCAATCAGTTCACTGTAATCAGAAAATGTTTATTGATACTTGAAAGTTATTTTATTTATTGAGAGTTAACAATTTCAGCACTTTTCTGCGGAAGTCTGTAAACAATATGTGCAAGAAAAGTCTTTATATATGCTCAGTTTCTATATACAAATGTAGAAATCTTGATTTCACTAGTGTGAAAACCAAATTTCTGCAGTAAAGGTTAGAAAACACTTCAATTATATATTTATTGTTCGACTGTTAGAAAAATTATAACGGTCTTACTTGCTTAATCCAGTTCATGCAGATAAATCCACAAGGCGATTATTTATCCATTTATCACCACTATTCACACTGGCAGCTAGGGAATTTTCCACTGAGATGAAAAGAAAACACAACGATATACAGGTGCGTTGGAGCCCGTCGAGAGTGAGAGAGAGCCAAAAGACAATCGCGTAGAAGAGAATCTTGCTCGTCCGAGGTGACTTACAACAATTAGGGGTTAATTACATGAATTATTTTACAGGATAAATAGTCCAGCAATAGCATCTATTTTTGGAATATTACCCCTCGTTTTTATTCTCATTGGTGAATTCACCGATGAGTTAGCTATCTTTGTTTAGTGAATAGAAAATGACAATGACTGACATAGAATGGTGGATCCATCGGTAAAATTTGATGAGAATAAAAACGCAGGAATGTTTTTATGGCAAATAATAGAAATTGAGATATATTAAATTAGAAATAATAAAAATTAAACCTGTTGTGGGTTATTTCCGCAACAAATCTGTATACTTATAATAGATTGGAGAATGTAAAATATACTTTTTTTTTTCCAATCACTTTTCAGGTTCCGACACAGAAGTTGAAATTCTAGAAGGACGACGACGAGGATAAAAAACACGACACGACACGATGAGAATAATGGACCCCTTGCATGAATTTTTTTTATTTGCTTATTGGAAAGAGGAGTCAAAATTAAGCTCAACTATATTTTTTTCCAATTTTTTTCGGACTTGCAAAGGCTCTAAATTTCGATTTGAAGTTCAAATTTCTGATTGTTCAGTTTTATCCAGTGTTGACCAGATGTTAGGTATGGTTTTCATGTAAACTTTTCCTGGCGGCAACTAAATCGATATCGAATCCACAGATTTGTAAGTATCGGACGGAATATGGAATCGATTCTCATTCCTATGGAAAACTTAACCCAACTTTTCAATTCATTATAATCATTATTTATTTTTATTTATTTATTATAAGCCTGTCCAAAACTGACAGAAGGCCGAGCAGAAGGCAGAGAAGGCACACAAACCATCAAGAAACAAACCATAACCCCGAGCATAAGGCCATTATGTCGTTCATAATTGAATACCTTAGGTACTCATTTGTTAATTATTGTTTATTTTGTTTGAAATGGAATGGATAAACCGGGTTTGAAAAAGCCAGGGCCCAGGGGTCACTGACCTAATGTGCTAATAGTAAACAAAAATAGTTTTTATCGGTTTCGTACTTTATACTGTGCCGGATTAGTACAGATATCGATTTCTTTGTTCAATTCGCATTTATAGACAAGGAAAGAAAATTCTCGATACTGGTGGATACTTCAATTAATAGATGTCGTTCTTCTCTTTCAAGTTTCAAGTCAAAATTAGGGCTGTACAAAAGTCGATACGCAAAGCGATTTTGATAAATATATGCGTCCTTTTTTTGTCCGATGTGTTCAAAAAGAAAAAAAAAAAAAAGATTCGTTTGGAACCTGAAAATTTAGCAAACAGTGATTTTTGATTGGTGTAAAATTATACCGCAAAATTCAAATAATCTGATTTTTTTTCTTTTAACTTCTGCCTTCAAGATTTTTTTTTAAATTAACCAACCATATTGTTATGTAGTACATAAAATACACTTTCGTTACAGATAAATTATATACCTAATTTTGATTGAGTGCAAGAGGTCTATTACATCTGTATACGATAACAGGTCACAAACAATATGAAACTTTTTTAAAAAATCTCAAAACATAATTGAATCAAATCCAAGCGGCAGTAATGACATTAAATTTTTGCCCAATGTTCTATTCTCAATTCGGTAGGGTGTCAGATCGACTGAAACATTATCAGCTTAACAGTACCCGGGTCAGCTAATATCGCTATTAAAAAATAGGGGTTGGTGGCAGAAGAGTGAAAATTTAGGGTTGTATGTATTTCTCAATGCCACATCATAAAAACATGAAAATAAAAAATGTCAATAAAATAAAATTAAAATTTTTGGGGTAGACCACCCTAATCACTTAGGGATATAAAAAACAGACTACGACCGATTCTCAGACCTACAGAATATACATATAAAATTTCATAAAAATCAGTCAAGCCGTTTCAGAGGAGTACTGTTACAAACACTGTGACACCAGAATTATATATATTAGATAAAAAAATTAAACCATTAAACCAATTCCTTAACCCCTTTCCTGGTATGCTTGTGTGTTTGAAGAAGCTTCACTTCAGTAGTATGAATACACGTTGTATTATTTAATTTTTTTGAGTAATCAAAAATATATTAGATACCCTTTTATTTGGAAGAGTATAAGTTGATTCTTCCACAATACATTTGTTATTCCATAACAATCCACTTACTATTACAGCAAACCCTTCAATTCAAATGTGATTTCACCCAAATTTAAATCATCAATTACCAATTATTATACAAAATTCCAAATTATTGTTTAACAAATAGCTTTTATGCTTGGCAATTTATTAACTTAATTCCAGCTCAATGGCCAGATAACTAGTGAACAAAATTAAATACTCAAAACGGCTGGCTTTAAATCTCTTATCGTTTGTTATATTGTGTACTAATTTTGTTTTACCAGTGTTAATTTGCGTCTTGACTGCGTTACCTATCCTATTTTATTAAATCAAGGCCCCCAAACTACAAGGTTTCTAAATGGGTATCTACATATTCTAAAAATATCTGGAAAGTAATTTTCTCATCTTCCTGTCTAAGGATCCAATTATTACGAAAATATAAATCCGGGACAGTGGGTACTTAGTATTCAGAACACAAAATGGACGCGTCGATTAAGGATAAACGCCGTCGTTTATTAATTAAAATCACTGGAGTGCGATAAACGAATCCTGAATAGAACATTGTCTAAAACATCCAAAAGATTTTCATTTAGGACTCACCCAATTTAATAAGTTTCACAAAAGAGATTCTTTATATTCGCTGCTGTTTCATAAAATAACGACAAATTATATTAAGGCTCTCCTTTTAAGCCTCTAGACTCTTATTTGCTTGGTTTAAGTTAATCAATGCGGTTTTTTCGATCGAGGGCTAATTTCGAACAGACACTGGTCCCAAAATAAATAATTGGCTAACTTATTCAGCTTGAACTAAAAAAAAAACAACAAAAACTGTTGAATTGCACATGATTTAAAAATTTAAACTAATGTTATTCCGTTTGTTTTCAGTATCGACGGTAGAGAACGTGACTTTTCAATTGCGGAACGATGGTCGGACGAAAAAGTGTTCTCGAACAGAGCGTATTTTTTACAAGACAAACAACCAGCTGAATTGGGTATCGACCATGTTCGGGAATCGGACCAAGCCGTGTACAGGTGTCGGGTGGATTTTAAAATAGGCCAAACGAGAAATAGCCGAGTCAATTTAACAGTGATTGGTAAGTATTTTAGTATTTTAGTATTCATAAATTGATATGAGTTAAATTGAAAATTCAACTTGGTAACAGATTCATTCATGAAAAACTTGTAAGAAGAGACGATACTGTCAATGAATTTTCTTGCATGTTCGTGGCTTTTGTAATACAAAATAATAATTTGTAATCTCTTTTCTGATAAGTATTTCATGGCGGCAAATTATAAAAAATGTCAAATTTCTTGTGCCTCTGAAGTATAGTCATATAGTCTGGCAAGTGGTAGCTTGATAGTGACGAAAAGGGGAAGAAAAGTGAAACCTAGTCTGATAAGAATATTCACTGACGTCTTCTATGGAACCAGCTTGTTGGATTCAGTGGCTTTAAAAAGACTGAAGGAATGAATCAAAATATTTATTAGGAAAAAACTCTATAGTTCAACCAATAACCACGCCACTATGCTGTCGATCAGGATCTAACCTATAGAATCATGCCTCTGAATAATCACGCCTCTCGATTTTCAGCAATACTGTGAAAGCTTCATAACTTCTTTGTTTACGATAGATTTATTAGTCTTCGAGAAAAAAAATTATAACTGAATTTGTCATAAGAAACAATGTGTTAGTGGAGACCAAAAAGAAAAAAAGTGAGTACGTCATTGGATTCTGATAGAAAATGTTCCTCTAGAAAATGCAGATATCAATTATTTTCATAAATAAAAAAATTATAAAGGTTTCACAGTATTGCTCAAAATCGAGAAACGTCCTCTAGCGACAAAACGATTGAAGATATCGAAATGAGGTTTGCACCAATCAAGATTTCATTGAAGCCTCAGAGTGGGAAGTTATTTTTTTTGTATCTGGCTCAGAAACCGATGTTTCCTATTAAAGGACTTCAAATTGGACCACCCTGATGTACATAAGATGGCTATAATGGATTTTCTCAAAAATACACGGAAAGTCAAAAATAGGTCCCTGTTCAATCCTCGTTGGAACTCCCTGTACATTTCACTATAAGTTTGTTCCAGTTCCTCAAGTAAATTCTGTATTTCTTCTTCAGTCTCTCCCCTATTTGAGCCGTCGCATCGTCGATATAAGTAACAAGGAAAACTAATTAAAAATTGTGTAATTTATCAGAAAAAGAGATATAACTCTTCGTATAATATTTCTTGCAGAAAAGCTGTTTTGATGTCAAATCTGTTTGTCAGTGAGAAATAAAAAAAAATCTGGATTTCAAGATTTTTTGAAAAAACTGAAATTTTGATTTTTGGTTTTTAATTTTTATTTGCTTTTTTCAAAAAACTACAAAGAAAAAAGAGTACTTTCTCAAAACGATTTTTTGTGCTCTATAAAATGGTGGCCCATCGTCAACTTTTTATTTTCAAATACGGACCTGATTTTTTCTGTTTTTCATTTTCGTAATCTACTCGTCATTCTGAACATGGTGATTTCATAACATAAATGCGCAACTTCTGTCTAATTTAGCCACTCTCGTATCTCTAACGGTTACCGAGATATCCCTATGTTGGTCTTCAAATTTGGGACACCCTGTAACAATTATATCATTAAATCAATTCCTCAACCCCTATCCTCGTATGCAGTGTGTATGAAGAAGTTCCACTTCAATAGCGTGTTGTATGATTACACGTATTTTTTCCATATTAATTTTCATACTCATTAATGATGTCTTCTTCAGCTTTAGTTACTTGTTTGTTCAGTTTTTTCTTTACTTTCATTTTCTAAGTAACTCTAGTTAAAGTGTTTGTTTTTCTCTTTTTTGATTTTTGGAGTCTGCCTACATCTACTTCAATAGCGTGGACTTGAATAATTTTCTCAATGAATTGCACGATGCCATCGATACTGAAAAACAACCTAAATTTAACAGATTGAAGCAAAAATTATGCTTCAATTAAATAAGGAAACCTTCTTAAACGTAGAAAGGAACAAAGCTCACACAAATACTCTTCTTTTAAATTTCATGATAGGGTTATGAATTTGTCAGATGTTGTTTTCAAGGATACAGAGATGGACATTCTGGAACTAGTTTGAAACATTGTTTCGATAATCAAACCTCAGAGAGTAGACTGCTTAAATTTTCGGTTGAACTTGATGTCATTATTGAACAAATTTCCAGAAACTTTAATTTAAAGAAATCATTTCGGAATGACCTTTCCAGTGTATTTACTACATAAATTCAAGAACTATCTGAAGAAATCCAATTCTCTTGAATATATGATGACTCATTCAAGGCACTAAAAACTTTGAAAATTAAGATTAAGAAACAAACGTTTTTAATTAGTTTGGATTAAAAATATCTTATTCCTTACAGCTGCTGTTCATTGGAAAGCATTTCTGGTCGTGTTTGAGGAGTGTTTACTGAGGGCGCCACGGAGTTTTTATTTATAAGGTCTCAAACCTCGAAATAGACCTCAATATTAAACCTAAAATATTAGGCATAAGAAAGAAATAATACAGCAACACTCTCCGCTTAATTATGTTTAATCAAACTTTAGTGAAAAATTATAATATTTTAGGATTTAAATTTAATGAGAATCAAAAATGTGAGAAAAACTAGATTCCAACCCAGTACCACCCTTAACTAAATATTATGTGTAAAATAATAATAATGATCGATCATTTTATTCAAATTCGAACCCTTTCTGCTGGTCTATCCGCCCTCAAAGCTCATATGCTCAACCGGACAGTGAACTGAACATAGAAATGAAACATTCCAATTATTAGGCAATGCTCAATAAAAAATATACAATAAAAAAAGGACCTCGTTGGGTCTATCTGCTCTGAAATTTCCTATGCTCAACCGAACAGCGGACTGAACATAGAAATGAGACATTCCAATTATGTAATGCTCAATAAAAAATATAATACAAAAGGTAGGATTTAAATGTGAAAAACCTTGGGTCACTACTTCCAAGTCGGAGTGTCATCAAGGACGATAGGCACTATTCATCAGGGACCATAAAAGTGACCTCACAAGTAGGGTCACATAAAGTTTACGGAAGCATGCCGTCTTTAGTGAATGGGACCAATACGAGGTCTGCATGTAGGACCCTATCAGAAAACTAAGTTACTGATGGTCTTTTTTTATTTAAAGAAAGGTTTAATTGACAAAAACTTATCTCCTGATTAAGTTTATAATAAGACATAAAAGTCACACTGAACAAGGGGCTACTCCTATACCATGATTTGGTACACAATACAGGCAATGGAATCACCAGAGGTAGTTGAAAATAAGAATAGGCTGCAGAAATAATCATAAACTTAAGGGATGTCCAAAATAGAAAATGATACCTGGCATGTTCCAATAAAATCACAAAAAAAAAGGTAGCCGAGTGGACGAATTAAAAAAAAAAAAAAAAAAAAAAAAACTAGTTAATTAGCCATAAATCGCACTCCGAATTCAAAGAATTGTCAAACCATTGACCTCAACACACTTGCAGGATGAAGCTAGCTGAAAAGGTGACTCTAGCACCCGGAACGATTGGTATTATTCGGAAGGATATAGTCCTGGGCGAAAATCATTGAATGAAGATGGTATGGTGCCACCTTAATGGAAGTAATACTTACACAAAAATCAGGTTGACTCCTATTCACAATCTAAACCTAAATTTAAATAGAAAAGTATACTTGCTTGAATTACACTACAATAAAAATATAAGCAGCAATACCAGTGATTACAATTAAAAACACCTAAAACCTAATAAATTCGCATACTTAAAATAGTAATAAAATGACAAAGTAGCTTAATTGCTAGACCTTCATTTACATCTCAAAAATTGAAACTTTTCTCACTGATAATTAATTCATTCAAGATTCTACATTGAAATCCTTTTAGCAGTTGCATCAGAAGAACTTCCAGACTTATCAAACACTTCAAATCCTTCCTTGAGGAACACTAGCAACTAGCAACCCTACAATGCCTGGATTGTAGAGTTACAATTCCATTGAGTTAGAGAACAAACTCGTCCACCTTCAGCTACCACGTAGTTACTTGTGTCTCTTGATGACAAATGACACCAATACCATATCCATACAGTCCGTCGATTTCAATCTGTCATTCCAAAGGAATGTGAGCTGGTGCCTCCCTCACCCCGCCAATGGTCACCTGACGTCACACCTTTTTTTGCCATATGCTTCACTCCTCACACGGAAAGATGCTGTGCGGAAAGTTTCAGATTAAAAACGACGGACAATACTTTCTCTTTTATAAATCTCTGCCTTCTACAGTGTTCAACAATAAATTCTATAAACAGCCGGATGATCTGGCCATTGGCAGGTGCCCCTCGCCGTTTCTAGGTGACATCTCTATGGATTATCTTGAGTTCAAGTTCATTTTTACCAATGTCAATAGGTAAATACTACACTGATATAGATACGTGGACGTCTGCCTTTGTTTTCTCAATTGGGACTCCCAGAGAGCGAGTCTTCTCTTGAATAAGTTGAATGACCTACACCCTAACATTTCTTCCACCTTGGAACTCGAGGTTGACGACCGAATTAATTTTCTTGATCTAACTATTCACAAGAACTCGAATAGATTACAATTCTCAATATACAGAAAACCACTCAAACTGATCATGTGATCCCTTTCCTTACCATCCATACCAACATAAAATGGCCTCTTTTTACTATTACACTCACTGTCTTCTGAGCATACCTCTCTCTCCCGCTAACTACAACGAAGAATTAAAAACTCTCCAACAAATTGCATTCAACAACATTTATGTTCCTTACCTGATTGAAGCATTGATCAACAAAATCAAACTTGGGAAACTTAATAAAGAAATGTTTTCAAACATACCTCAAAATAAGAAATATATTTCAGTCCCATGTGTAAATTCATTTCCTAACAAAAAAAAATCACCAATATTTTTCTTAAACATCAAAGTGACCTAGAAATCTCCCACAAGACTAAGAATAACTTGGGTTCATACTTGGTCAACACAAAGGACAAAATTAACAAACCAAGTAGCCAAAAGTGGTGTCTATAAGTTGGAATACGATTCGTGAAGTTGTTTTTATATAGGACGTAGATACTTGTAGACCATTTTAAGGAGACGGACTGCTGAACACTTAAATAGGCCCACTTCTGTCTTTGATGAACATACAGTGTGTCCGAAATTCGAGTCTCTACATGGGGATTACGCTTATTATGAGAGATACAGGGTGGCTCAAATTAGGAAAGTTTTAGGGAATTTATTACTCATTTATATCCTGTTGTTAAATTTCCTTCAAAGTTTTCTGTTTCCTAGAAATCCGAGAAAAACTGAAAATAGCCAATTTTGTTTTTTGTCAATAATTCATTAACCGTTAACTTTAGATGTTTCTAACTTTAACATTATTAAGACACTTTTTCGAGACGTATATTTTCGTGATTTGAAAACATTCCGATTGTCGTTTGTTTTCGAGTTATTAACCAAAACTTTCTTATTTCTTATGGCGGCCATCTTCGATTTCAAAAAAATAATATTCTGCGAAAAAAATCCTTTAAAATGATGTATGACAAGCTATGAAAACGTTTTGCAAGTCCTTCAAAATTACAGTTGGAACCGATATTTTGCTAAATTTGGCAACAATGCTCATAGTTATAAGAATAAAACCAAATAAGTATGATTTAATACCTAGAATCGGTATTTTTGAAGTCTTCTGGCAATTTTACTGGACAAAGAAAAAATAAGTAGGTATGGTATTCCACATGTTTTTTTTTTTGTAATGTAAACAACATGAATTACAGCTTTTCCTCCTTTCTTCTTTCGGTTTTACGCCTCGGGAAAAACTATTTCCAGTGTGTTTGTTTAGTTCAATGGCCGTTTACGATGGATTTGACAATGGCGACACACAGCGCATGGCGTGGCGGCGGCGCGACACGCTTCAACCGATTATTACTGCCTTGTGACGTCAGGACCAATAGAATAGTTATTTACATTACAAGTGCGTTCATGAACATGATTACAATAACGAGCGTGGAAGATAAGAACGACGAGGCCATAGATCATAGAATATCCTAGACAGAGTCGTTTTGATCACACGAGTTTTGTAGTCATGTTTAATCGCACGTGTGATGTACAACGTTTCATCTACAAAGCGAAAAATATGGAAATGTTTTTCCAATTTTCGTTTATTCGTACCTAGTTGTCTACCTTCATTTTACCTTTGCAGGTTTAACTATGACATTTGTCAAATCACAAAAACTAGTTGTTGTGTTATAGATTCATAACCTAGTCCATAACATCACTAATTGTGTTATAGACGCATAACCTAGCCCATAACACCACAAGTTGTGTCATGAGTCTCATAACATAATTCAAATACTAGAAAAATGGTTATATGAAAACGTCATAACCAAACGCTTGTAGATCGTGTCATGAATTTCGAATTATTTGGTATTTTCAATCGAAGATTTTGGACACCTGAGATAAGATATTATTTATTTTTTTCCTAATTGCATGATTTGTTAGTGTGCCTTATTATTTATTCCATATTAAATTTAATGTGCAAGTTTCCTATTATTATTATTTCATTTCACTCTAACCTCTTTTTCAAGCTGCAGTATTTTCTTTTTTTTACGTTTGCAACGTTTGCAACACACCCGCTACTAGAGAATAGAATCTTCGTCTTCTTTTTTTTTTTCTCTGTTTTATCACCTGGTGGAGTGTGATTATGACGTATCGCATCATAACCACACTTCTCGGACAATGACTTGGGAAAAGCTGACGCGAGACGGACTTCTGAGAAGCTGAGCGAAAGGCAAAAATGTCTTGCTTGACACCACATAATAATTTTGAAGCAATAATTGTCTGCTTAAGGGTAAGGCCTTCAACCCTTTCCCCCTTTCATACATTGGGGGTTTATTATGTTAGTCCGTCGCAATTTATTTTTGATGTGTAGTCAAGTCCTTTCTACAATTTTTATATATATTTTTAGAATTTTACTATTTACAATTTCTGTTTGTATATCTCTAATTATCCATTCAGTGGTTATCCTCTCAAATTTGGTTTGTTGCTGCTTCTGCCATATGCAACCACACCAATTAGCACTGAGGATGGCCGGGTGGCCGAAAGCGTTCTGCTAAGATATTCAATGTATTTAATTTATATTAAATATATTTAATTTTAAATATATATGCTCGAAGTACCCTTGTTTGATTTTCCTGATACATCTGTTGAGACTACTACTCGCTGCTTTTCTTTGTTAAACATTCTACAGGGTGTTACGAAAGGTTTGTTACAAACTTCTAGGGATGGTAGATCTCTTAATAATTAAGCCTAGAAATTTGTAACAAACCTTTCGTGACAACCTGTATAGCCATTTTGGGCATAACCAATGAAAATGTTTCCTAACATCTCCGAGTGTATAGTTCGTTTCACGAAGGTTTGTACTTACGTCATCGATGACGTGGAACAAAGGGTTTGTCATAGAATAATTGGTAGATTTAATTCAATAGCGTTCAAATTTTATATTATATTTTGAGTTATCCAAAAATATATAAATTATTTAACTGCGTATTATATTTCACGGGACCGGAATAGTAATTTTATTTACGCGTCTACACAATAATTTTTTTTTGACAAATTTAGGGAATGACTTGTGATGTTAAGAACCGAATAATGTTTTTGACATTATTAATTTGTTTCAGTCAATTTTTATTGCAAATGCTTTACAACCGAACAGGTGAAGTCTGGACAGATCTAACTACTTGATTCTGATGGGTTTTGATTTCGTCCCATAATTTATTTATCCAATTTAGGACAAATATTTGGGTTCGTGCATTCGTGATGGGAGTTCGATTCATACGCTCAGCCTTGCTATTTATCTGCGGAGCGGAGAGTAGGGAACTGTTCAGTTCAGTAGTATGCCTTTTTTACTACACCACTGTTTTATTCACTTCTATAATTAAAAACCCACCTGTGTTATCACATCTTATTGTATGAACTCCAGTATTTTTGTATCCTCCTATTCCTTCTAGACAATTATTAGAAGAGTCTTTGTTTTTGTATTGCTGTTAAATTCTAAGAACAATTTATTGATTCATGTGGTCGTGATATCAACATAGCCTTGAAAACGAATCCTCCGTTTAGTATAAAGGTGTGAACCAAAAAACTGAATCCTAATTGATTTTATAACTTTTTATTTTAGTGGTTTAGATGTTAGGTATATCCGCGAAACGAATACGGGGCTTTCTTTCGTGATTTGTGACTGACTGAAGTCATCACTTCTACTTGGTTAAATTGAATCGCTCCGTAGCAATCGCTCCATTTTCCCTTGTTTTTTGTTTAGATCTTATCACAACATTTTTTTTTAATATGTGCGTTCAGTATTAACCTTTGCTTGACTTATTTTCCCCTTTAAAAAGTCCTTCTAAAGGCGATATTTTTTTATCTGATTGGTTCTGGCTACCATTTTGGTAAGCCACGTCATGTCTCCGTCTTATGTTCTCTTAGCAGACTTTTTTGAGCTTTTGGACAATTGAGAAGGCTTCTGCGGCTTTGCTTTCCATTTTTAATTACAGGGTTTACTCTATTAGATCCGAGTTGTAGTTCTGGTCCACTTTGCGCCCATTTGATCTCTAGTCTTACCAGAAAATATCCAGCTTCGAATTCGTCCAGAGCCCAATAAGCCAGATTTGGGACTTCATGGATGCACAAAAAAACTAACAGGTTTGCTAGAGATAAAGGCAGCTCAATTATTAAAAACCAAATAAAAAAAAAAATGCTTTGACTTTCAAACATTTTCTTATATTTTTTAGTTTTTGAAATAATGATTTATTTATCTATATTTAGGTATAATGTGAATAACCGATTTGGTAATTTTTTGGTTTATTTTTACTGCGTATATTATTCAGGTATTTCTGAGTAAGACCCCAAACCCCGAAGATTCATGAATTTTCCCTAGGTTTTCCGTGATAT